ATTGTATAAATGATAAAATAGATAGAAATACATTTAGAATTAACAAAGTGTGCTAAAAATATAAATGATGCATACAACTATCATATATTAATAACAATATCAACAGTTTTCATAATAATCGTACTGACGGGTTACAATGTGTATTATTTTTTAATGACAAAAAACTCTCATTTATCAAATTTATATCTATCTAGTTTTGTATTTTGGCTGACTTTTTTATGGATGAAAATTATTTTAGTATGTCACGTATGYGAAGATACTGCGACGGAGGTACCTTTATTAAATATTAATTCATATTATTATTTTTTCTTTTCCTATTTTTATGAATTTAATTGTAACGAAACGTTTTGTTAAACATTCACATTTATTTTATATCTCTTGTTTTTTTTTTCGTTACATGCTATGGATACCGGAGAAATCATTTGTGAAATGTACGAACCATCAAGAAGCATGGAATTTTGTGCTGAGGTATTATTAATTATTGATAAATACAAATTAACAATAAATATTAATATTAATTTGTTTATTAAAAATATTTATTTTAGATCCGCGATTTCGTTCTACAACTTATTCAAAATCCATTGTCATTTACCGCCTGTGGCTTTTTTAATCTCGACTATACACTGTTAAACAGCGTAAGTCATATTATTATTTCTTGCAAGTGTAGTTTTACTTTTTTTTTTTTTAAACGAATAATTTTACTATTATTATTTTTAGATAATTGGTACTATTGCAACTTATGTCATTATTCTCATGCAATTTGGAAGGATACCATTAGAAGATTCGATTAAAAATTCTACATTAGCGTATAATGATGTTTGAAAAATTCTATATGACCAATGTTATGCACGTAAATTCATCTGCAAGCTATACACGATGACGACAATTTTTTATTAATCTATTTAACAGTCAAATATTATTATTAACAGCGATTCTTCAGATTTTTGATAGGACGTTTGTTGTTAAAACTGAGAATCATTATTTATCGACGTAAAAAGTAATGTTTCAATACTAATATAACTTTTATAATATACCTATATTTGTGTTTCTAAAAATTAACAAATATCAAATTGTAATATAGTTTAAATTTTGATTGGAATGATGCAGTATTTTTTTTATATTGTTATACATTTTCACTTTTTTTTTGCGTCATTGAAAGAAATAAGAATAAAGGTACATGAAAAAAAGAAAAAAATGGATATAATAAAGAATATTTCCAAATAAGATAACATTTGTTTGGGAAAGTGAAAACTACATTTATAATAATCATTTATACTCGATAAGAGAAGCTTTTCATAGAACGATTAATTAAAAAAAAAAAAAACAGGACACAAGAAAAATATAGCTTCGACATCTCGGAATACAAGCATAATGCATAATGACATTAGCTACTAACGTAATAAGACCTAATGTGCATGTTATATAATGAAATGTTCTTAGTGTAACAGCTAACCTCACCAATGAATGTTCTCAATTTGAATATATATTTTGAACACGAACTAAACAAGTTTTCCGACCGGTGTATTGATAAATAAATAATTTTGGTTTATCGACGATAAAGAAATAATATAAAATAGAAATTGTTCTTTCTTTTAACCACAAGAATATTTGAAAAACAAAATGTTCATATCGTCAGAATTTCGACGAAGTATAAACCCGTTAATAATAATTAATTCAATTTTTACTACCGGTTTCTTGGAATATCACGTAAATGATAAAATAAATTTGATCGGTTYGATTCACGCTTGCYTTTCKATTAYATTTTACATTTTGATGATTTACATATATTCATTTCCTTYGACAWMTAMTWTTTGGAAKGAAYCRTWTATTAAACAAGYAACACTTTACATATACRTTTRTAGCGATTATGTTAATCACTTTGGTTCAATTGTTGCTGGGATTTTGAGAAAAAAGGTAAAAGAAAAATCCTTAATAATTATTATTTATTTATATTTATATCTTATAATTTTTGTTGGCTTGATTTTGTTATTGTTGATTACAGAAAGTAAGACATTTATTATTGCAAATAGAAAATTGTGTACGTGCGATGGATGAATTAAACATACCGATGAATTTATCGAAATATTTTTGGCAACAATGYTACATCATTTTATTCTTGATWWTAWTTTTAATAATAATGATWGCTTTCGATTATTCGTGGTTAATATTARTTAGTAATRATTATTGGACAATTGCTATKGCATTTTACATCGAACGATATCCATTTGTCGTTTTGATAATCATCGATTTTACGGTGATATTTTGGATAAGATAATTATCAATAATTTGAATTGTTACAAATGAACGATTGAAAATATTTGCAAAAAGAAAATCTTCCAGGAATTTTAATTTTACTTTAACTTTTTTTTTTTACTTCTTACTTTAAACAGATATATAAAGATTAAATTTAAAGAATTAAACGTATTRTTGAAAAGTATGTTAAAGAGTACTATTAATTYGCCGCAACATAAAAGAGTATTTCTAATGACAAATAATAATCAGAATGATACTAATCAAACGAATAAATCTAACAAAATGGTTCTGAAGATTCAAAAAATAAGGTAAATTTGATGTAGTATAATATTATGTATATATATGGAACGATTTGTTATTAGAATTGATTTGGTCATACATAAATATATATGTTATTTTCTTTTGTTTAAATCAAAGGGAAATACACTTGGAATTAATTAAATGTGCTAGAAATATAAACGACGCATACGGATTCCATATTTTATTATCTGTTACAACGACCATCATAATATTTATTACATCGGCATACTACTTGTACAACTACATTTTAACAGAGGATTATGATCAGATTAGTTTATACATTTACTGGGTAACTTTATTCGGATTAAAATTGATCATCATAAGTGATGTATTTTCATCGACTATAAAAGAAGTATGATTATTATATTATTATTAATTATTATAATGTGTTCGATAATAAAATATTTATTTTATTTTATTTTTCAATGAAATAATTATTTATTTTTTATTTTTACATGCCACGAATACCGGAGATATTCTTTGCGAATTGTACGAACCGTCAACCAGTAAAGAATTTCGTGCAGAGGTAATTCATTATTTTTATAAAAGAAATTTTAATTAATATTTAACGTTTTGTTTAATCTCATTTTAGGTCTTTGATTTTACTCTACAACTATTACAAAACCCATTGTCATTTACCAGCTGTGGTTTTTTTGATCTCGATTATACATTGATACGTAACGTAAGTAAAAAATATTCTTTTTTACAAACGATTAAAAAAATAAAAGGAAACTGATATTCATAATATTACTTTTTAGATAATCAGTATCATGATAACTTATTTCGTCATTCTGATACAAATTGGGAACACACCATCGAATATTTTCATTGAAAATTCGACGTTATCGAATAATTCGTCAGACGTTTAATATGAAAAATTGATACGCATATTAAATAATATATATTAAAATAAGTTGAAATAATTTGAACGATAAGGTGAACATATTTTGAGAAAAATGTTTATTCATCATTTTAAAAATAGATACTTATGAGTGTTGTCACATTATTGTTATAATTAAAAATATATAATATTAATTGTTGGCTGTTTTTATTAATTAACAAATCAACGATTTTGACAAGCAATGAATTCTAACACGAAACTACAGGAAAATCGATTCCTGACATTTTTAATATTTAATGCTAAACATCTAATTCATTTTATTATCGCTAATTGTATATAAGAAGATAAAAAAAAGTAGAAGATAGCAATATTAACTAGATTAGAACGATAGAAAGATAACATTTGCCCTAAGAGAGTAATTTTTTATTCATTTTTATTTAATAAAAACGTAATACCCGTAAGTAGGTTTCAAACGAATGAATAATAAAGCTAAAAGAAAGAAATTTCTAACGATATCGTGGATGATCATAATAATATTCGGTACTAATGTAAAATAACATCTAAATGCAAGCAACGAGTTGTGAACATTCGTAGTGTTACAGTAAACCATAGCACACGCAATGGTTCTATCCGTTCGGTTATTTTATTTGTTTAATATATCAAGTTTCAATTTTTGTAATATTACATGAACATTTTTCATTATCGATATTTTATTTTTTTACGGAACAAGTTTTAATTTATTATTTTGAATAATAATCGAGGAAAAGAAAAGAAAGAAAAAAAAAGAATATTGCAAGAAATGTTTCTATCGAAAGAATTTCGACGTAGCATTAAACCATTGGTAACATTAAATTCTATTTTGACGACCGGTTTAGCGGAATATTACTTCGACGATAAAATCAATACGATTGGTATAATTTATGGATTATTTTGCCTTGTTTTGTATTTTTCCATGATATCGTTGTTTCCATTCTCTTGGAAATGTTTTAAAAAAAGATTACCATTTCTATTGAAACTGACATATCAAACTTACAATGTTAATGAGATTGTATTTGTAATTGTTACCATTATTGCTGGGATTCTTAGAAGAAAGGTGAAATATTGTTTTTTTATTTAATTTCTTTTTCTTTTTCTTTTTATTTAATACAATAATTGTTCGAGATTATATTCTATTTTGATACTATTTTTTCTTGTTTTTTTTTTTTTCTTTTTAATAGAAGGTGAAACGTTTCATGTTACAACTGGAGACGTGTGTTCGTAATATGAATCAATTGAATGTACCGATGAATTTTTCTAAATGTTTTCGACAACAATGTTTCCTAGTGTTATCTTCTTGTGTAATTGTATTCCTTACAATAATAACGAGTTATCGATGGTTACTGCGACCACATTTCAATATTCAAGAATTTTTCGTTTTTATTTATCTAGAACGTTATCCATTTTTCTTATTGTATGTTACGGATATTACTTTTATATTTTGGATAAGGCAAGTAAATTGTTTTTTCATATATTTGATTGCATCAAAATGAACAAACATACATATACAATGACAATAGTCAAATCTCTCTTAACGAATTTTACTATACTCTTCAATAGATATATCAAAATGAAATTTAGTCAATTGAATGTAGTATTAAAATTTATGCTCACTACTACTATCGATTTGCCCCAACATAAAAGAGTCTTTGAATTTTGGAATAATGATTCTTGTCTATCTGATATTCATGAAACATATAAATCGGATACAAATATTATAAAATTAAAACAAATTAGGTAATAATACAATAAGACAATTATTTTCCTAAAACTCGTTTTATCCAGAAGAAAAAAACAATAATAAGAAATTCAATATTTTATTGCATTCATTAGAAAATATGAATTTGTAATTTTCAAATAAAATAAACTTTAAATATCTTTATAGAAAATAAATTCTGCAGTTTGTCTATGAATAAAACGGGACACTCTGTACTATGACAATTAATAATAATTATTACTTCGTTTCAATATAAATGTAATATATTGTCTGTTTAAGGGAATTACATCTGGAATTAATAAAGTGTGCAAAGAACATAAACGATGCGTACGGATTGCATATTTTAATGTCAATATCAACAAGTTTTATTTTAATCATAGCAGTGTCTTACAGTCAGTACTATTTTATGAAATCTACAGACTACGATCAGCATATCTTTCCATTATGTTCTTTTTTCTATTGGAATTTTCACAATGCATTTAAGATTTGGATAGTATGCTACGTATGTTCATCAACTGCAACCGAGGTATGTTACTTAAATATTTTTTATTTTCTTCTTACATTTCTTATTTATAATAAACATTTTATTTCAAAGTTTCACGAAGGAATGGTAAACGAAATGATTATTTATATATCGTTTATTTTTTGTTACATGCAACGAATACGGGAGATATTCTTTGCGAAATGCACGAACCATCAACTAGCATGGAATTTCGTCAAGAGGTAATAATTAATTGTCGCATTTTTTACGTTAAATCGATTGGGCATTTGCTTACGATAAGTTTTTTCTTTTTAAGGTTTACAATTTCACCTTGCAACTCGTTCAAAATCCATTGTCTTTTAACGCTTGTGGTTTTTTTGATCTCAATAATAGACTGATTTATGGTGTACGTATTCTATTGATTTTTTAGATTTTCATTTGAATAGTTAGGTAATGAAATTGTGGCATATTTTTTGTATTTTATAGGTAATCGGTGGTATCACAACTTATCTCGTTATTCTTATTCAAATTGGTGGCATACCAATACAAATTTTCTATACTAATTCTACGGAATCAACTAATTACTGATGTTTACAAATTTTAATTTGTTACATGTCAAATATTTATGGCAATTAAGCTATACCTGCAATTTTTTTCTTTTATACCGTGTACGGTATTTGTTATAAATTATTATTAGAATAATTAAATTTGTTAATATCATGCGTTTTTTGGAAATTCATTTTAAATGCAAATTTTATAACATTTTTATCATGATCTTACTGATTGATAACAAAACAAATCGAAATTAGACTTTGCTTTTTAATTTTAATTATTATTTTATACGAGATTAACGTGAATTACATACATAGTGTGGTCACCATAAAAGTCACTTTATTGATAGACGAAATTATAATACAAATTTTTATCAACTCTTTTTCTTTCTTGCTCAGATATTAATCTTACACACATTAAAATACATAATAAAATGTTATCAACTTATATAAAAATACGCATAAATAATGAAAATGAAATTTTAGAGATTAGATTTAACACAAGTTAACATTATCAATCATAAAATTCATTTTACGTCAACAAATAATATATAGAAAAAAAAAAAAAAGAAGCAGATAGTACATATAGATATTATGTTAATAAATGATCGTATTATCTTTTAATCATCTTTGTGCCATTATTAGAAATTATTCAGGAAAGTGATGGATATCAATGAAATAGACAGCATTATCGACTAAGGTGAGTTTCATAACACCGCATTCGAGAAACTCATAAGCATTACTTTAATATCCTTCATAGACATTTCATCGTACTCCGTTATTACAGTGTTTCTTAAAATAAGAAATAAACGGAGGACAAAACAAAAGAAAAAAAGAAAAAAATTGAGACAAATACTAGGAGAAAAGTGAGTTTTCGAATTGAATTATTTATCGATAGGAATCAACTATTTTTCAATTAATTTTCATCTTTTTTGTCATCGTTAAAATAATATAAAACTGATTAGCAACAACGTATTAGTGATAATGGAAAATTTAATTGACGTATTAACGAATAAAAAAAGAAAAAAAGTTCGTGAAATTAATCGTATCGATAAAATATCATTGAAAACTATTTACGACGTATTAAAACCGATCCAAATATTAAACATTATATTTGGATTGCGCGTTTTCGAAATACCACGAGATCATTCTAGACCGTTAATCAGTTGGTTATACTCATTACTGTTGTACGGTTTTAATTGTGGCAATTTTTATTATCGTCCATCGAATTCTAATAATACAAAGGTACTTATATTTAACGATACTGTTAACAATTCAATATGGTTATCGAATTATATCGTGATATTCGTTATTATTACTATGGGATTGTATCAAAGCGAGGTAAGTTGTTCTGTTTTTTTTTTTCTTTTTCCAAATATTATATTTATGATAATAATTAAGTATGTATTTTTTTTCTTTTCTTTTTTTTTTTCTATGAAATTAATCAATAATTTTTCTTTCTGATGCACTAAGGTTATATCTATTAGATTGGTGCATACGAAATGTCGGATTTTCTTTACATGTGAACGTTATTTTTTTGTTTCTGGCATAATTATGTTTATGGTCGTACTGTCCCATTGCCAGAGTCACATTTCCAAAAGTGTTCGATCTTTTAGTTTTTTTTTGTTAAATTTTCTAAGTCTGTAAAAAATGATGCTCTGAAAATATTGCTGGAAACGAATCCAACTTTGTCTACATGGGAACTTGCTTCTAGGATGAAAATTGACCATACAACAATATTACGACACCTTTCTGAAATTGGCAAAAATGAAGACAGCACTAGTGACAGCACTAGTGACAGCACTAGTGACAGCACTAATTAACCAAGCAAAATAAGCTTGATCGTGTTTGAACGTATTTTCATCACTATAAGCCCGATTTTTGTCAATAAATTAAAATACGAAATTTTGCCGCACCCATCTTATAACATTTACAACAATTTTTACGTGCTTAACAAAATTTATTGATTCAAGACAGGCATCTGTGTATTATAATCTCGTTTGGAAAAGTGTATTTAAACAAATAGATTTTATTTTGATTAAATAAACAGATTTTGAAGAAAGATACAAACTTTTATATATTCACTTTAAAATCCGAAATTTGATACGCACCAACCTAAATATGTATATACATAAATAAATATAAATATAAAATGTAACATTGTTTTTAATATTTTTTTTTTTTACATATATAGTCCCTCAAATTATGTGAAAAAAAAATACACGAGATCGACGTAACGCTACGTGCGTTAGGTTCGTCGTCGAGTTTCGATAAAATTTACAAAAGAATAATAATTAGCCTTACGATGCCGGTGCTCTTTATATTTCTCTTCTTCGCAACAATTATCTCAAAAATGGTTTTAGAGATTAACAGTTTTTATAAATCACCATTATTGTATTTATTTGCGATTCAATATATATATGCATTCATGATCGAATATTTGCTGGTTTATGAGTTCTTTATAGTAGTTAGGTACGTATTATTGTTTAACAAATTATTAATAAATAATGATTAAATTTGAAAATAAAAAAACAATCTAGAAAAATATTGCAGATGCGTCCAATTGGAATTTAAAAGAGCAAACGATTTATTAAGCGACGTAAATATTTTACCAATTAATTCTATCGCATCGGAATTAATAGAAAGATCGTTTCATGTTGATTCCAACAAATTATTTGACCTTTCATCGTCGTTGCATAAGATGCACTCAAGATTACAAGTGGCTAGTCACAAATTAAATAGAAGTAGAAAATTATTACGTACGATCAGGTGAGTAATTACACACACACACACACACACACACACACACACACGTTATAATATAATTTGATATTTATATTATATTTATATTATATTTATATTAATATTTATATGATTTAGACAGGTTCATTTGGAATTATGTAAATTATCGAAATGTTTTAGTATGATATTTGGTATACAAATATCCCTAGAAATGGTAATGTGTATTTTATGTAACACATATTCGTTATACAATTTTTATTCATCTTATTCGGAGGAAAGTAAAAAATCATACGGTCTTATTTTTTTATTCATTACTACGATTCTATCTTTTTTACCATACTTGACAAGAATTTTTTTTATTACTTGCATCTGCGATAGAACTACGAAAGAGGTATGAAAAATAGTATTTATAATATTATTATTATTATATAATAAATAGATATT